AGATGGCGCCATAGAGTGGACATGTATTTTGATGAGACATTAGTTCAAATATTCAGCTAATATATATTTTCACTCAGTGAAGGTTATTGTGCCATGTCTTTAGATCAATATTTTTCAAAAAGATCTGACAGAATGCCCAAAGCTAAGAAGACTGTGCCAAAAAGTTCTACTATCAGCGGGATCGAGCAGGATGTTACTATGGACGACGCAAATGTGAAGAGTCGGGAGGAGGAAAGTTCCAACTCCAACTTTGCTCAAGCTTTGGACAAATTAACTGAAAACATTACGAAGGTAATGGATGAGGAAGTAAATACTGTCCTAGCCGCGATAAACGATCAGTTCAGTTCCAGGCTTTGGTCGGGCAAGTGGGCCAGGCAGAGGAACGGATCACCTGTGTGTAAAATTCAACGGAATCCCTGCAGGCTCCGTTGGCTGATCAAAGTGAGTGAAATGTCAGTGCACATCGACAATCTGGAGAATCGCGGATGCAGGTGTAATTTGCGTCTAGTCGGGTTGCCAGAGGGAACGGAAGGCAACGATTGCTTGATTAAGATTGCAACGAAAGCGCCATTGCCAGGAGCTGCGCAACGAACCAGACCTGTCATCATAAAGTTCCATTACTTTACGGACAAGCAGCGAGTGTTGAACGCAGCTTGTCATGTTGGCACGGATCCCGAAAGATGCGCTGATGCAGGACCAAGGATGCCCTGCTATATCCTGCAGCTCTGAGGCTGACAGGACAATGAAGCGCTTCACCTCACCAGATGACGTGGCTATTTTTGCTTATAACTTCTAATTGGTTTGGCCAATCACAAAAATGGTCTCTTTAAATCTAAAGATGCATCATTGGGTGCATCATGCCGAGTCGAATGATACCCAATTTTCCCATGTCAGCCATTTTGGGCGGCGACCATTTTGAATTTTGTAGTAAAATGCTGTATTTTATGAACACATTGACGTATCCTTACGAAACCTGGTATGGGTCATCAGCACGATGCCCTGAATGAGCCTGAGAAGTTTCGAGCCAACGCCACTTATATTCACATGCTTATAACTTTGGGTGTGGTCGATCTATTTTCACGGGAGTCACCTTTTTAGACTCCTGAATCCTTGCCGAGTCCAGCGATACCCAACATGCCAGGTTTTGCCCTATGGTTTGTGCAACGTTGCATTTTAGCGCTTAAAAAACATTTGCCAATATCTTAGAAACCGTTACTCCGATCGGCACGAAACCACCGTAGGAAATTTGGAAACATAGCGTGCCGGCTAAGCACCAATGCCCAATTGCTAAAAATTTGATAGTAAGTGGCAAAAAATGCAAACAAAGTCGGCCATCAGTCATTTTTTCTCTTTTCATGTATAAAAATGTCTATAATTCCAAAATAAAAGGAGATATTTTCACCAAATTTGAGACAAATATGAATGGGCACACTCTAAGGACACATAAAAAATTTGGTGGGATTGTGCCTCTTGGTGGCGCTATAATTGAACAAAACATGAAATTGCCATTGACTACAATAGAGTATTATGATATAAAATGCTATATTTTACGAATGCATTGGTGTACCATTACGAAACTTTGTATGTACTATTAAAACCATAACCTTAAAGTAATAGCTTTAAACTAATATATAAAATAATAGCTTTCTGTGAGTTTTGACTATTGTAATGAGACTGGTATTAATAGATTCCTTGGGTCATGCTGAGAACAGTGATACCAATGTTGCCATAGTCAGCCAAACTTCCTGTCCGCCATTTTGATTTTCTTTAAAAACCTACTTTTTCGAACTCCTCCTAGACCGCTGGTCCGATTTTCACAAAAATCGAATCATATCATCTTCAGACCATGCTGACAAAAAGTTATGGATTTTGTGTT